ATATTCTCTTCAATTAGACTCACAGTTGTATGTCCAAGCTTACAAAACCAAGCAAACTGTGAGCTCGCTTCATTTTCTTACTTGTTCTGATTTATTCATTTTTGTTTAGTTAGTTTGTCAAACATGTACAAGATAACAGGTATAAGTCTAAACATGGACATGAACAAGGAAAATGAAACCAAATAAACGGGGAGGGTAGGACAGAGACGGTAGGCTTGCTGGTGCGCTTATGCACACATCCCTTACAGATCTCTTAGCAATGGGGTGAGGTCCACGGTAGACAGTTTGAAATTGAAGCTGTGGAGGTGTGAGGAAGTAACAACGGAGTCGGGTAGAGCATTCCAGGCATTGACCACTCTGTTGCTGAAGTCGTATTTTCTGCAATGAAGTTCAGTGTGATTTACCTTGAGTTTGTATCTATTGTTTTCCCGTGTATCATTGAGATTGAAGCTGAAGTAGTTGTTGACTGGTAGGACATTGTAGCAGACAATTTTGTGTACTACGCTTAGCTCAGAGCGTAGGTGGCGTAGTTCCAGGTTGTCCAAGCCCAAAATTTTGAGCCTGGTGGCGTAAAGGATTCTATCGTAAGCACAGAAGTGGAGGACTCTTCTTGTGAAATATCTCTGGACCCACTTAATTGTATTAATGTCCGATCAACAATGTGGATTTGTAAAAAATATTTACAATTCGGTCTCATTTTTTTTAAAATGGGAAGCTGGATTTAGCCATTCTTCAGAGGAAGACCATACATTTCCAGATGTCTTCAAGAGTCCTGCTGATGTTCTCGCTCAGAAATAATCACAGGGAAATAACAAAAGCGCCACATTTGAATGTAATGGGTTGAGTTTGCAGAACCAACTGTATCTGGCACTTCACAAAAATGACATAAGTCAAGAGGCAGTGTTCATTTTTATTGTGTGTATGCTATCGCAAATTGATTGAAGCCCTCATATTTGTTTGACTAAACATGTTCTTGTCTAACGGGGAATTTTTGGCGCAACACTTATCTGTTGTGCTCTATTTTCTCTGTTTCTGACAAACTACTGATTAATTTTTAATACTACCACGGCTCAATTCTGCAGGAACATTCTCTCATTTAATTGGGATCTTTTTCTTCTTTAATTACAGAAGGGGCAAATCAAGTTATGCTTACATAGTTGATCAGAAGGAAGGGCTGAGAATTGACTGCTTCCCACCGAGCACTAAACCTTAAATGTAAGTTAATAAAGTTAATGAACGCAAGTACTGTGTTCCTATAACAAATGATATTCAGGCAAATAACTACGGGATGCCTTAATGCGGTGGTTTGGTTCACACATCACAATAAGACAAAGTCTGAAGTCCTTCCACAAATTATCCCTTCTAGAACTGAATCATTTTTTTTTTACAATCATAGGAGTGAATGAAGGTTTGGTAATCTGATCTGATACCCTGATGATTCCATAATTCTTGGTTTCATGTAGGAATCTAACTTCAGAGCTGATGTCTCCGTCATCCTTCCCAGAATGGCTTCCTGGGTTGAACTGCTAAAATGATGTAGTGTCTGCTTTTGCTTAAGACAGAACCATGGTGGTGCAGTGGTTAGAATGCAGTATTGCAGGCTAATTCTGCCAACTGCCAGCAGTTCGATCCTGACCGGCTCAAGGTTGACTCATCCTTCCATCCTACTGAGGTGGGTAAAAGGAGGATCCAAATTGTTGGGGGCAAGAGGCTGACTCTAAATCGCTTAGAGAGGGTTGTAAAGCACTGTGAAGCAGTATATAAGACTAAATGCTATTGCTATTGCTATTGTCCTTCCTCCCTCCCTCCCTCCCTCCCTCCCTCCCTTCCATCCATCCATCCATCCATC